TGCTTGCATTCCAAAAGGAATCTACAATGCATATTTTACCAACCTGGCATAAATATGCAAATTGCATTTGAGCACATTAATACTTCAGAGTCTTTGGTCTCTTATCTTGTCTTTCTCTCCAACCATTCCTCTCCACAGATTGCAAGATTCTGGAGATGAGGTCCTACCCCCATACCAACAGAATCAGATAGCATTATCCTGAATTTTCTCTTTTTTATATATGGAAGACACTTTCAGACTTACGATGCAAAATTGTTTGCTTTTTAGAACATGTGGGAGTATGCCTTCCCAAAAGCAGGGAATTCTGCTACATCTTGATGCTCAATATGATCTGCTGCTTGGAGAACATAAATGCTCTCAACCTACAAAGTGACTGTCAGGGTCTCGGTCTGGGAGTAACTGAATGTTTCAGGAGCAACTGAGTGATTGCACTTAATGCACAACAGGGCAAAATTACCTCCCATCAAGAGAGATGAACGCCCTTGCAGACCAAAGATTCCGATGCTAGGAGTGCTCCAGACTAAGGTTCCCTTCCAACACTGAGTCTATGAGTCATCCACAGACACAGTGGGAAGCCCTTTTTACAGGCAGACACCATCAAAAACAATCCTTTTAGCACAAGTTTGGCCAGTGTAGGAATCACTGAATTATAGTTTTTTTAAGCCATTATTTTAATGTAACTAAAAATTCCAAAAATACAAATACTGAATAAAAAACTAAGGAATTCCACAGTACTCCTGTGACCCTCTGAAAAATGGGTCTTTTTACCCCCTCCTGCTACTTTCTCTTTCTCCATCTGGATTCCATCTGCTGCTGTTTGGACAAAAAGGAGGGGGAATCTCCTGATCATCCCTTCCACCCCAAATTCTCAATGTATTTACAACTAGCACATCAAAGGAGACTCTGCCTCTAGGGAGAAAGCTTGCAAAGAACTATTTCCTTCTATTAGCTTTAAGGCTTTTTTGATTCAATACCCAGTCCAGACTGATCAAACAGAAAAGCAGGAAGGGAGGCAGCAGGAAAGAAGTTTTTAAAAATGGGGGGCGGGGGGGGAGAGAGAAAAGATCTGGTGATGAGAAAAGTTGGCACTGTTAAATTAATGTGTTCCTTCTTGGATTGGGCTTTTCATTAGTTATATACCATATCCCTTGTATCAACTGTCAGAGGGAGAAAAAAGATCCCATTAAAAACTTCCTTATCCTCAAAAAGATTCTACAGCCATGCAGTGGGAATCAAACACAATAACTGCAAGCAGATCTGCATTGAGAGTTGCTGTTAAATGATAATAAGACAACCAGTACCTAATTACCATATATTCAGCTCAACATATAATCCATGGGGACAGGAGTGAAAAGTAACATGTGAAATTTAAGCTATCACATTCAAAGGCAGGCATGTGTACAAGCATTCTACAAAACAGCAGCATGGTTTTGTTTAGGCACAAATCCTCAATCTCCATTACTGTAGGTATTCTGCTGATCAGTTATACAGAGATAATTAAATCAATATTGAAGCAAAAAGCCAGCTTTTACAAGCAATTTTATACAAGAATCCATGTTTGCTAGATAAAGTAAGAATGTTCCCCAAAAGCAAAACACATTTAGCTTCAACAGGTTGGAACAGTCACCCCAAAGGATACTTCTCAGTAGCTCAAAGAGAAGCATAAAAGTTAAACTCCTCCTTTAAAAGTTGCCCTTTTATTTCCTTCCACACAAAGAGATATACCCCCATTCTAGGCATTTATTGGACATTGCTATCCTCTTTCAAGCTATCCTCTCATATCCGTAAGGACTTGCTTGTGATTAAACACCAAGGAAAAATGAAGAACAAGCATTTCCATATGTTCAAAATCAAAAGAAAGGTTGTGGGGAACACAACATAGCTGTACCTCAGGTAATTTTTGCCCAAAAAGGGTGTGTTTTGCCCATATCCAGGCGAAACAAAACCCACAGCCCCTATCTAGAGCTCTCTTTACATATAATATTTTAAGAATTTATGAGTAAAAATCCAGACACACAAACTCGTGCAGAATCTGTGTAAGATTTTCCAATCTGTTCTTGCATTAAAAAAATAGTTTCAACTCTATTTCAATCTCAGCTCAGAGGGCAAAGTAAGAAAGAACTGAAGCCTGAACAAACTTGTTCCAAATAGCCCAGCTTTTATTGCAGAGTTCAGGAAGAGGCCAGCTGATGCTGGTCAGTTTTGCCTGGGGAGAAATATTTCAAGACTAACAAGCTTCTCTGCAGACTTCCATTCTGCTAAGTTTCAAATGGAAAAATCTGCTTTCTCTTTCTATCAAAAAAGAGATTATCTTAGGAAAAGCATCCAAAAGGAGGTGAGAACGGAAGACAAACAATTCTGTTTACAAGAATGAGGAAATCTAATTTGAGTCCTCATAAAAGAAGAGTGGGTGGGTTTCCAGGGTGGTGTTTTTTTGTTTTTTTTTTGAGGAGTAGTAGAGTGCCAAAATTTACCAGTTGGAGCCTGGTGCCAAAGACTTGCATTTATGTGTCAAATCATTCTGAACCCACACATTTGTGTGCAATACTAGAAACAGGCAGAACTCACAGTCCTTCCACATAAAGACCCACCTCAAGTTATCCCAAAACTTCTTTCCAGCAGTATTATTTCAGGGAGGGAAAGAAAAAAATTATGTTGTTGACACTGAAGAAAAAGAGAATTTTAGCTGATCTACTTCAAACTTCCCAGAAACTTCTACTTC